TTACTCGTTATTCTGAAATTGGCCAGCACTGAAAGGTTCCTCCTCAGATCTTGGATTTTGAACTTGATTCTCTTTTGCCGCAAGGGTTTACTTTCTTTCTTATTTGTTTTAGTTTCATTTTGGCCGTTCGTCTCATCAATGATTGTAAGTGCTGCAGGTAGAGTAAGCGATTGATTTTCCACATATCTAGATTTTCTTCGCTCTCAAGTATACCTTGTACTTATCATTGTTGGTTTGCATGATGATGTCTTTCTTTTTTTTTGCCCCGTTGATTTTCTTCATCGGCTGTCTTTCTTCCAGACTTATTTTGAGAACTTCTTGGCACGCGCTTCTCAACCTTCATTTAATCGTCGTTCTTTTTGGTGTGTTCACTGCATTCTGTTCTTGAGGAGTTACGTCTTGTACTGGTTCTGTAGTTTGTGTTCTTGGCTGTATACTCCTTTTTAGAGCTGAGTTTGTTTCAGATATGTCTGGCATTGGTTCTGCTTTTCTTACGATAGTTGAATCATTTCGTCTTGACAGGCGATGCTCATCGTTTTTGGTGACACCTGGTGTGCTTCCAATTCTATGTTGGTCGGGTAGTACTTTTGTGGTGGCATGAACATTGTGAGGTTGTTGTCTCTAAGGTTTTAATGTTGTGGATGTCTGTGCTTTCCTTGATAAACCAGTGGCTTCATGACTTCTTTGTATTAATCTTCAATCCACTGAACTCTGAATATGGTTGGCTGCATTATTCCAAGTGGTAGAGAAGTTTTGGTTGCTAGAGATGTTCTCGGTGTCTCTCATATCATGCTTGCAGTAGGGTTCAGACTGGGTTGCTAGATTGACGGATACATCAGCTTTGATTTCTGCAGTTTGTGTCTCACTTAGTTTTTGCTGGTTTTCCATGAATCGTCTTTATGTGGCGAGCTTATTTGCATCCATATGCGGATGGCCTGTGGTCGGGTTCCTCTTTTTCTAGAAGTCATAGCTGGCGTTTATATTGGAGCTTCTTGTGGTCTCTGTCATGTGAGGATGGCACCATGTTATTTCCTTATATTCTTCGGTGGTCCACTTCACTCGCTCTTTTGCTTACCTAGTCTGAGTGCTTGAGCTGTTATCAGCAGGGCTACTTGGTGATGGGCTTGGGACCTGTGGCATTTGTTTCAGCGTTCTTTTCCGTGTTATCCCGGCGATCTTGGTTGATTATTCTGCATCATCGTCGGTTCTGTCAGCTATTCCTTTGTAGTTCCAGGTTTTACTTGTTACAAAATTGCTTGTATCGATAATTTTTCCCACAAGTTGATTCATAAGAGTCCGTCCGTAACCTCTTTCCGGGTAAGCCTATATTTACTCTGGGAGGACGCCTGATATGATATGAGGCTCCATAGTACGCCACCAGCTTAAGCGCGTTGGTGCCGGGAGACCCAATGGGCTCGGTTTGCACCCCAGGGTGGGTTTTTCATTAAGTAATCCTCAGCACAGAGAAAGGTGCTTCAGGAGTAACTCGAGGAAGGAGGTGCATCAATACCGCAGACCAGAGTCAGTCCTCTCTGAGAGAGGTAGTAACGTTTTGTGATTTAATCATGATTCAACATTGAATTGGTGCTGTTAGCCGGATCAATTTGTGAAGTACATTCAGTTTGTAATGAAGCCCACGGACACGATCCTAACTACGATACTAAACTACGCTTAACTAACAAAAAAATTTCCTGAAAAACAGCAGCAACCATAGGATGATAAGGAACACATGTTAAAAGTGGTAGTTTGAACAACTTCTGATATTTACGAGGTCTGTTGGATTGGAGAACAGATGTTGCTAATAACTAGTCCAATGCGCGTCCAGATTAGGTCTTCTTGAACTTTCTTAAAATGTGATAACATACTGAAGGACACTACATTCACAAAATTATATTAGTTCTATTTGTGCACTTTTTGGTGACATGTTAAATACAAGCAAGTCTGGAGTATTCTGCGATATCTATATACTTCTTCAAAGAGAGATAACATTTGAGTTCGCCAACATTTTTTTAAAAAATATTTTACAAAGAAAATGTTGATTACACTTGGTCACAAAGTAATTACCTAAAACTCTGGCACCTTGGCCTATCTCCTCCATTATAGTAACCTCCGACCTGGATGCATTTCTGCCAACTCCGCGCCGTTTCAATTTGGCAACACACGACTGAAACTCCTCCGGTTTGACTGCGCGCAGATCCCGGAGAAATATTTTCCTGACTTTCTGCCACTGGCTAAAATCGACGACCTTTTATCACTGATTTAAATCTTGAAATAGAAAAAAGACCGCAGTCGCAAGGTCGAATGAATACGAAGGATAGAGCAGGACATTAATGCGTTTCAAGTGACAAAACTCCCTATGATTCGATGCATTGACAAAGGGATGCAAAAACCAGGAACTCTAAGCCCAAAATTCAGGCCTTAATCTGCAAACATTTTACGTGCTCTACGTGATACATTGTTATAATAATAATAGTTGAAAAAATGTAATGTTGCACCTCTGCTCTAAAAGTGAGCTAATGATGATAATCACAAAACACAACTGACTTACTTGTTTTCAACCCATTGCCAAATACACTAATCACTAAATACAATCACTGATTGAAATGCAGTGGATATCGGATATAACGACATCGGTTATAACGACATATTGGGCATAACGACGTAAACTGGTCGGTCCCGGCTGAAATTCCATTCATTCAATGTATTTGTGTATCGGTTATACTGACATCGCATATATCGATACATCGGTCATAGCGACAGAGTTTTCGCGTCCCAAGAGATGTGGTGATCGGTTATAACAACCTGAGGGAGGTGCAGTGAGATTTCATTGGAATGTCTTTCAGATTATTGCGCGCCCGAAAAAGGATAAGCAAGAGTGGAATGTTTACGCTTTCGTTTCTTGTTCAAAGTAAACATTGTATTTACAAATTCAAACAAAGTGTTTCAATTAAAATTAGTCCTAGAATAAAAAAATAAAATAAAAAAAATGAATGAAATAAATATTCAGTTCAAATAAAAATAATATAGTGTGTAGGGCATGTAATCTCAATATTATAACATACATTGTATTTACAAATTCAAACAAAGAGTTTTAATTAAAATTAGTCCTAGAAAAAAGAAACAAAAAAAAAATGAATGAAATAAAAATTCAATTCAAATAAAATTAGATAAAGCTAATAAACGAAGGTGTTACTGAAGAGATAATGAATCAGCAGCAGAATTCACCGGGCCCTGGAATCCCACCTACAGCACAGCCTTGTTCTTTAACATAAGGTACATACATGCGTAACCATTCCACTATCGGTTATAACGACTATCGGCTATAACGACCGAATAAGGCCGGTCCCTTCAAAGTCGTTAAATCCCATATCCACTGTGATTTAATTCTGTGAACGTTGTGTTTTTCAATATATTATCAGCTTTTAAAAAAGTCCCAGAAAACTCAATTTGGACGCACGGTGGACTAGTTATAACCAAAATACGGTTTTTAATCGAACAGACCTCATAAAAACTTGCGATACTTTCAATCATCATCTCCTATTAGGTTCCGTGTCACAGAGTTTTCAGCTGCCATTATCTAATATTGTTATTACAACTGTTGAACACCCGGAGGACTTAGGTTCATAAAAATTAGAGTGTTCACTAGTGATGGCGATTCTTGGATCGATCTTCCAAAAGATCGATTCTCCGAGACCAAAAGATCGAGAAGATCGAATCGATTCTTTCACGACGATTTTTTGCGTGGATCGATTCATTTCACCTGGAATTGGATCGAAAGAATCGGTTCCTAATATTCCTAACTTTTGAGTATATTTTCTCCCGGAACTTAACGACTTGATTGAAAATGAAGAAGATTCTATACAAACATATTTCCTGAGAGGTTATCGCACATAATCCTGCTCGATTGCCTTTCTTTGCGTCCCGATCTTCTCCGATTCTTTTCAGCTCTTTTTGCCTAGTCACAAAAGATCGGACGGAACGGATCGGCAAGGGATCGATCTTTTGTCACGTGACGATTCGTGTGGATCGGATCGGGAAGATCGATCGGATCGGATCGGATCGGATCGTCATATCATGGTTCCATCGGAGAAAAATGAAAGTACTAGATACGATCGATTTCAATCAAAAATCTCCACACACTGATTACTATTCTGTGATCTACTGTTATCAGACAAATTCTTTATATTTATCCATTATTCGTTTGTTTACAAACTCGATCCACGATGCACTAAAAGATCGTCACGTGACGATCTTGAATCGATTCAGAATCGTCACATGACAAATTTAAGCATGTATTATTGGCTCATTTTGAAATTTCAGATCGGCGGGAAAGATCGGATCGTTGGATCGATCTTTTGAAAGATCGATTCTTTTGACCCGATCTTTGAATCGGATCGATTCTCCCGATACGATTCAGATCGATCCAGGAGAATCGATTCTCAGTCAAAAAATCGCCATCACTAGTGTTCACATTACTGAAATAACTGCTATCTTAGGGAAAGGATTTCCTGTAAGAATTTTCTTTGCTCATGTTAAATAATTTCGATTGCATTCAAAAAGTGCATCATAAGCCAATGCATACATTGCCAATTCAAAATATCTTACGTGAATGTGTTGCAGGGCACAGAGTAGGAGTTCTGAGAGCCAAGATCTTACCGAAATTCACGGGGACGCGAACTCAATTTCTTAAAAGCTACGTTTTGTTATGGACTAATTCATGGAGAAAAGATTCACATGTTTTGGTATCACATTAGGTACCGTGCAAATGGAGGAGACTTCAAATATTTACAATAAAAAGAAAATCATTTTGGCTTTTGGCAAAGGATTTCCAAAAGAAGAAGAAAATTTGGAAACGATAAATGAAGCTGAGTATGGACAAAAAAAGAGACTAAAATTCAAAATTGGTTACTCATCAAGTCAAGTTATTATAAAAGACTGATTTCTCCACGAAAAATATGGGAGAAATCAAATCCATAGAGCGTGAGGGAACAATTACTCACCAATATGACATTTTGTTAAAATGCTCTGTAAATCGTGTCAGGTTTGGACTCCTTTCTTCATTTTGTTCCTGTGCCCAAATTAGTGCTTCTGGAATTTCTATTTTCATAAAGAGCTTAGCATCCAACAAAGTCATTTGTTCTGCGATTTGATCAGATTTAAAATCTAATAAAGTCCATGGCCTGGGCAATTAAAAGAAATACTTTAGGGAAGTTCTCTGTTCACTTTATTATCCCTGTTGCCTAGAAATGTTTTTTTTTTTTTTTTATTTCTACCAAAAAAAAAGTAGCACTTGCTTATGTTTATTCTTGTATGAAACAAAATATCCTCCCGAGATGATCATCCACATTTCCTTCATTCAGAAGAAAATAGTCCAGTGATAGCAGAAAAAATGAGGCAGAAAAGTCATGTTTATCCCCTGTCACACCCTAAGATTTTTTTGTATATAGTCGCACTTCCGCTCATGTAGCACAAAAAACGTTCAGAACTAAAGTTCAGTTTACATGCTGGATGAGTTTTGGCAGAGTATTGCATCGCATTTAGCATAAAAAGAAGGATTAAATTGTCGTGCACTTCTTTTGTGATGTATTCCAGGTAGTGCTGCTGGTCCCGAGCCCAGGATATAGAGAAGGGCTTGGAGGTGAGGCTAGCAACCTGCCTCCGATAAAACACCTGATCTGCTCCAAGAAAAAATAAAAGGCCTTGGTACCAGACTTTAACCAGGGTGTCTACTGGCACTTAAAAAAAAATTATGCACATTTTATGTATTTTTGAAGTACAAAAAGAGAAAGAATAGGTATTTTTTTTAAAAAAAAAATATGTATTTTTTATGTATAACCCCGACAAAATTAGCATAATTCCTCCACTTGCTTTTTTACTAACCGTTTGTGCGATCACAAAGTTGCTCAGCGCTTACTGCTAACTTGTCGCACTTTTAAGACAATTCATTTCTTCAAACTGATCATGAGCTCATTATGAGGGCTAGAAACTGGCTTCCATAAAAACTAATTACTTTGTAGATAAAATGCAGTTATTTTTGTAGAAAAAAAGGGGGGAGGGTTCAAATAGTGATATGGTGATCAACATGATATGAGAAACCCTTCAACGGTGTCATCAACAAGCCAAACGTGGCAAATACTTTTTTAATTCAAAGGATAAACACCTACAATGTCAAGTCCAGATGGTGACATTCTAAATCACGTAAGCATGTCAATTTTTTGTCAAATAAAGCTTACGGATGTATGTCCATGGTCCATCAGTGAAAGATATTGCTGAAATAGGTGTAGGAAACAGAGGCTTGCACTGATCTTTTGCTGAATAGTACATTCATTATACATATACATATGTACATGTACATATACATATTAAATGTATGTACATTTTATTTACTAATACATCATAAAAATTCTTTGAAAGACAGGGAAACAGCTTTGCTTGCAAGAAACTACTAATCTAAATTATTTTACCTGGTGTATATACTCTGAATAGGCTGATCATAAGTTGTTGTGATTTGCTGGGCTGCTTTAGCTGCATGCTTTTCTAGAATTTTAACTCGTAGAGCTTTTGCCATTGTGAGGTCTCCACTTCGGAGCAATTGATACACAAAGTTCATAAGTCTTTGAATAAATGTCAGCTCTACATCTAAAATACTACAACAAGAAAGGAGTAGATTGGCAGGATCACAATTAGATGGCAAATTGGGTAATTGAAAAGCAAAGGCAAAACAAAAATAATTAAATATAATTGTGCAAGAAAAAAATGAGTAGATAGGCAAAAAGAAAGATATATGAAAGTTCTTCAAAAGTCCACCTTCCCCCTGCTAACTATTGAACAGTCACACCTGAAAAGACGGAACTTCAGGGATATTCCTAGGTGGAATGGAGGCTACTTGATGGCATAGCAAAAATTTTGAGGCGGAGCCCCTAGGCGCTTAGGTGATTTCAAACTCAACATATTTGGGAGGCAACCACCCTTCTGTAATACACTATTGAATAGAGAACAAAAATAGAGGGATACTAGCACAAACCAGAAGTTTCTGGCATTCACCATTTCATAATGGCTGCCAGCCACAGTTTAAAAAATTTCAACTTGATCAGGTTACCATTTGAAAATGGTGATAGAAAGGAAGCACTAAATATCTTTTCTCTAAGTCCACTTTCAAATGATGCATTACTCAAAACAAATTTAAAAAAATTTCATTTGGGGGTAGGGGTCAATTTTAAGGGGCAAAACTTATTTGATACCCAACTGAGTGACACATAAATAAAGAGAAAAATAGACAAAGAATTTCTGGGGCAAACAGGAGGTACCTAAAGACGGTGACTCTATTAAGTTGGAATCTGCACAACTTTGGCTGACCTCCAGTTTGAGACGACGATGCCTAGATAATTTCGGTTTCTACCTAAATTCCTAGGTTTTTAGTATCTATTCGGTTGTGTTAATAATGGGGGTTGCCTTTCGAGGACGTTTACTTACAGTTCATCTAGGCATCCGGGGGTACCGCCCGTAAATTTTCAATACGGCAAAAAGAAGTCTCCATTGACTTAGGAGTACACCTAAAATTTGTATTTCTAGTGGGGTCGCTTAGGGTCAAATATCACCAAAATATTTCAAATTAGGCCACCAGCATGAAACTTGGTGAAAATGTAGTTTAAGGTACCTAATTTGAAAATCCGTCGGGACCCAAGCTGGATCTCCCATGGTTCCCTGTATTTTGGCAGTCATTTTCCAAGATGGCCGCCATAAGCTGATTTCCGTTATTATCTCAATTTTCAGGCGTTCTAACTTATCTATGAACAAGAAAGAGCCGTATGCAAAAACAACTTTTTTCGCCCCCCCCCCTTAAAACTTATTCAAACTTCGTCTTTCAGTTCCTCATACTGGAGCGCTTCTTTCCCCAAATTTTCCGACCCCCCAAAAAATATTTTAGGGGGGGG